CCCATGGCTTCCAGTCCTGGGCTTGCCACCCACTGTGTGACCTGGGGCAGTGGTCTCTCTCTCTGGGCCTCAGTTTCTCCATTTGTACGACCAGCATGTTGGCAGTGATGGTCCTAGTCACCAGACACAGGGCACCCATGGAGCACAGGGGAGGCCAGGGGCTTGCTTCCTCTTTCCAGTCTATATCGAGAAAGCCACATGGCTTCCGAGAGTTGCATCGTGGAATTGTCCATAAGTCCTAAGCTGGATGAGCCATGGCTGACCAAAGGGTAGTTTCAGGGCTACTCTGAGAATAAGGGGTGTTCCTCATGTTGCCCTTGACAACAGTGGGGGTCAGGGATCTGGCTCTACGCTGCTGTGAGGAGAGCCCCCGACTTACCGAGGGCCCCACCCTCTCTCTGCTTCTGCCAAGGAGACCTTGAGTGCTTCTGGGTGGCTGTGCAGAGCCCCCTCCACCTACACAGGCACTCACTCCTCCAGGCTCAGGGCCAGCCCACCGTCCTCCCCCGAGCAGGCAAGGAGGGGCTTTATCCAGAGCAGATTCCAACCTGCGCCTATTAGGCTGGTGACCTCGAGCCTCAGTTTCCCCATCTGTCTGAGGGGAAATGACTACCTCTACTCACAGTAGGGGTTTGCGAGGGTTCAGAGAATTCATGGACAAACAGTACATGAAGGGTAGGTATTTAATGGATGTGGATCCCCCATTCTGTATGCCATCCACCCTGGCCACAGGGCCTCAGTTTCCCCATGTCGTGCTCTGCCTGTGGAGGGGAGAAGTGTTGGGGGGACCTGCCAGGTAGGCCAGGGGTATGGGGGGGGTGTCTTGGTGGGCCCAGCAGCTGAGGCCGGTTGCTGGGCCACAGGCAACACACAATAGCAGCCATTGTCTAGGCTCAGCCGGCTGGGAGGGTGCGGTGGGGCAGGGGGAGGGGCGGGCCCGAGGGCCAGCGTGGCCCACCCCCAGATGACCCCTGCCCGCCCCCACCACTTCGGTGGTCCCCACACCGCCCCACGCTCCCTCAGCTCCCTCCACTCTAATTAGTTCCTTTCGCAGCTGGAGTTGCTGTGCAGCACCCGGCAGGCAGCGTGACCACCTCTGCGTTGCCTCCCCACCCAGCATCCCGCCCACACAGAGCCCCACAACCCCGCACCAGCACCAGCTGAGCGGAGTCACATCATCAAGCCAGGTTCCCAGGGGACTCCGCGCTGCACCCACAGGGTGCCTGCTGAGTGCCCGCACGGGTGGAGACTCGTGGCCCCGCCTATTGCGGGCCCCACCACTGGTTAAGAAACTTGTCTGCACCCTCAGAACAAGACAGCTGCCCTTTTGGGCGTCTCCATCCTCCCCACCTCCCTGGTTGTCGGGCATTAAGTCGGGTGATGGCTGGCTGGCCTCTGCGGGTTATCACAGCGCCAGTCCCAGGGTCTCCAGCCGGGTTGTCCCCTCAGCCTCCTGCGAGCATAGCTGCCTCTCACCCGCCCCCCTTCACCCAGCCCAGGAACAAAGAGCAGAGCTGGAGCCCAGAACTGGCCGCTGGCTGGGGGATGGGGGATGGGGGTGAAAGAGGACACTGAGGTTGGCCAAGGAGTGGGGTCACCGGCATCTTCCCCTTGGAGTGGGGCCCCCATTGGGAGGGAAATTGGGGTGAGGCCAGCCTGGGGATGAGGTTGCTGGGATTGTGGGCTTTGGGGGTGGCGCCTTCCTCCTTTTCCAGGAGTGGAGAGGCTGGGCTCTGGCTCCCATCAGAATGAAACCCTGGGCAAAACCCAAGGGCAGTAGTGGGGGGCAGGGGTACCCCCTCCCACCTTGGGCCCCACCCTGGGGGACAGGTTCCTTTTGGGGCCCTCCCTGGTTCTGGATTGAGGCAGTATCTCCTTCAGGTCTTCAGAACAAGGTGACCCAGGGCTCGGGGCTCCTCCCTGGTCCCCTCTGGTCTGGGAGGAGGGCAGTGGGGCAAGTGCCAAAGGATGTTGCTTGGACAACGAGCCAATGAGAGTCAGTGTCGCTTTGAATTCTCATCTCCAAACGATTCTGCCCTCAGGGTCCCCTTCTCTGCAAGGTGGGGTTGGGGGTTGGGGGTGGGAAGTGGAGGCTTTGGGGAGGCCTGTGGCCCCAGGCCAGCCAAGGGCCAGGCCACCAGCCCTTCCTGGCTCCTGAATTCTTAATCAGCATAAATATTTACTTCCTTCCTCTCTTTCCAGGCTCCTAACACAGAGGAGCTTCAGGGAGGTTGGAAGGGGCCTGTGTCTAAAAATAAACAGGTGGAGGGACAGGCAGACACACAGACAAACTGACATGACTAGGGGGTGGGTTAGGCAGAGGGCAGCTCCTCCCCCATCCAGGAGAGTGGAGGGGGCCCATGGCCACCCATCACTGTCATTCACTCACCTGCCCGCCTGGATCTGGGGCTCCTGAAGGGCAGGGAGGCAGTCTGGTCCCAGCCCCCCTTGCATGGCTGGGAGCTCCTGGCCCACGCATGGCCTGGGGGCAAATCCAAACGGATCTGCTGGCTCTTACCTGATGGAGTTTAACAGGAACAAGTCAAATCACAGACCTGGGTCCCATGGCCAAGTGCAGCCAACGGTGCTCTGATAATGCAATCCCCCCGCCCCCCCACTAGGCTTAGAGACTCTAATATTAGCATGTGCTGGTGGGCCTTTGTATGTGTCCCCAGAAGCTGAGGGTCCTAAGTTCTCTGTGTGCTTGCAAAAGTGGAGCTTGGCCTAGCCCTGGCCGGCGTTGCTAAATGCTTAGAGGGTCAGCCCGCTCACTGAAGGGTCTTGGGTTCGATTCCCAGTCAAGGGCATCTAACTGGGTTGCAGGTCCGATTCCGAATGGGCGCGTGTGGGAGGCAACCAATCGATGTGTCTCTCTCACATTAATGTTTCTCTCACTTTCCACTTCCCTCCCTTCCTTCCACTCTCTAAAAATCAAAGGGAACCCCTGGCTGGTTTGGCTCAGTGGATAGAGTGACGGCCCATTGAACTGAAGGGTCTCGGGTTCGATTCCGGTCAAGGGCACATGCCCGGGGTTGCGGGCTCGATCCCCAATGGGGGGCGTGCAGAAGGCAGCCAATAGGTGATTTTTTCTCATTATTGATGTTTCTATCTCTCCCTGTCCCTTTCTCTCCGAAATCAATAAAAATATATATTTTTAAAAATCAGTGGGGAAAAAATATCCTTGGGTGAGGATTAACAACAACAAAAAAGTGGAGCTTGTCCTAGGAAACAGATGAGCCAGGGCTTGGGACTAGGTGAGGACTGCTTAAATTGCTGAGGGGCTTGACCTGGAGAAAACGAGTGGGGATGTGGGGGCTGTCCTCCCCTGTCCTGCTCCGTGGAGAGAGCACCACACAGCTCTGTAGGCAACACTGGCCCCCAGGAGACACACCAAACAAAACATGCAAAGTCTCTTACCACATGGTGCTGATGGGATTATTCTGTTTTAAACTGTGAAAACCTTGCCCTGACCGGTTTGGCTCAGTGGATAGAGCGTTGGTCTGCGGACTCAAGGGTCTCGGGTTCGATTCCGGTCAGGGGCATGTACGTTGGTTTCGGGCACATCCCCAGTGCGGGGTGTGCAGGAGGCAGCTGATCGATGTTTCTCTCTCATCTGTGTTTCTAATTCTCCCTCTCCCTTTCTCTCTGTAAAAAATCAATAAAATATATTTTTTTAAAAATTAAAAATAATAAATTGTGAAAACCTGGATTCAGTGGATGGCAGGGAGTATCTTAGTGTTGGCTTGTTTAGCAGATAGATTTTCAGGGAGTAATCATCTCAATTAACAAATGCAAGGAAACGCTGTGACAGTTTCCCCACATGTGAAAAGATCGCCTCTGTAAGAAGTGTTAATTTGGAATGAGGAGTTGACCTTGCTTTTGGGTCATTTTTATGTGAAGAAAATTACATCACTGAGACATTCTAAGAAAATGGTAAAAATTCCAGCATGAGAACTCGTAATAAAAGAATGTCATCACCAAAAAAAAAAAAAATGATATATGCATATGTTTTAGTAACCACCAGACAGAGCTGGTCCACTTCCTTCCAACCCTGCCCCTGGCTGGCCTGGCTGGGCCACAGCCCCCAGCTGCCCCCTAGTGGCGGCCCAGAGCCCTCTGGCTCCCTGTGCCTATGGACACCTCTTCTGATCTTACCTGTGAGGCAATGCCACCTGTCTGCACCCCCATCCCTTGGGGCCAGGCTTTGCTCAGCCATCTCTCAGCTTTGTTCCCTTAGAGGTGACCACAGATCCCAATCATCCCTCAGCAGTCAGTAGCTGAGGACCTCTCATGGTCACCTTGGAGAACACCTATTGCTCCTCAGGCCTGGTTTTGGGACTTTCGGCTCAAACCAGGCATGTGCTCCAGGTATGACTTGCCACTCAGTCAGAAATGACCGTTGTGAGGCAATGCCACCTGTCTGCACCCCCATCCCTTGGGGCCAGGCTTTGCTCAGCCATCTCTCAGCTTTGTTCCCTTAGAGGTGACCACAGATCCCAATCATCCCTCAGCAGTCAGTAGCTGAGGGCCTCTCATGGCCACCTTGGAGAACACCTATTGCTCCTCAGGCCTGGTTTTGGGACTTTCGGCTCAAACCAGGCATGTGCTCCAGGTATGACTTGCCACTCAGGAAGAAATGATCGTTGGGACTTGGCTGGTTATTTCTTGGAAGATCTGACCTTGAATCTGGTAGCTCTACCACTTCCTAGCTCTGTGACCTGAGGCAGGGTCTCCAAAACTCGGCTTTATGGCAAAATGGACTCTTTGAGCTTTGCCTACCAGAAAAGACTTGTGGGAAGTGGACATGGAAGATCTGAGTAGATGGTTGGCTCTCTTCATGATACGTGCTGGCCAGGCCACTCAGAAGGTTTCCCTACCTGGGGAGACAGCCTTCACACACCTGCACACACACTGCCTCCCGCTCCTGTGGGCTTTAATAAATGTAGCCCAAGGAGGACTTGGGATCACAGTGTCACAGCACAGCTCCTGTCCTCCCCTAGGTTCCTGCCTGAATACCAGCTTGCCACCTCCAACCCCAGCCCCCCACCACTATGCACTCCTTGGACGAGCCGCTTGACCTGAAGCTGAGCATCACCAAGCTCCGGGCGGCGAGAGAAAAGCGGGAGAGGACGCTGAGTGTGGTCCGGCACCGAGCTCTGCACAGGGAGCTTGGCCTGGTGGACGATAGCCCCACTCCATGCTCCCCGGGCTCCCCGCCCTCAGGTACTGCACTGGGTCAGGGCCATGGTCTCTGGGCCCTGATGGAGCTGTGGCAATAGAAAGAATGTCCAAGGTGTGCCCACCAGGACATAACTGCAGTCCCTCACAGCTTCTGGCTTAGAGTGCTCCCCACGCTCTGGCCATTCATCCTTCCAGCAGTTTATCTTTGGAGGTCACATTGTCCCCAGGAGGAAGGAAGTTACCTGCCCAGTTTATAAAGCTGGGACAGCAGAGTCAGGATTCAAGTTGAGGTCTCTGGGAGGAGTTGGAGGAGCTGAGAAGGGGAAGCAGAGTTTCTGTGTGGTAACAGAAGGCCCTGAGACCCAACTCCTGGGCTTTGAGGCAGTGTGGGTGGCCAGCAGTCAGTAGAGATTGGGGACCTGGCCCAGCAAGTGTTTCTTAGGCTGCTTCGGGCCCAGGCCTTCTGCTCTGCCCCTGGCGCTCCTGAGAACCACATCTACCCCTTCTGAGCTTGAAGGCTCTAGAAGTAACCTAGCCAAACCTCGCGTTTTGGAGGGGAGCACGGAGGCAGACGGGGCCTGGGGAAAGTTAAAAAGGTCCCTACCTGCCAATGTGATGGGAAGCTCCTAGCTTCACGTTCCTAGTCAGTTGCTCACCCTATGTACCAGATCATTCTATCTGTAAAATGGATACTTCCCACTTTTCATGGCAACTGATGGCCGAGCTCTCATGATGGCCAAGATCACATTTGTCAGTTATATAGGCTGTTGCTCAGATACCTGGGGTCCCAGGTGGTCAGGGGGTGTGGCGTGCCTGGGGTTTGCTTCCAGGGTCATGGCTTAGGATTCAGAGGTGGGAGGGCCTAGCCCACCAGGACTCCTGACTCCAGCACCCCTGAATTGTGCTTCTCTTTTAGGCTTCCTACTGAACCCCAAGTTCCCTGAGAAGGTGGAGGGACGCTTTTCAGCGGCCCCACTTGTAGACCTCAGCTTGTCACCATCATCGGGACTGGACTCCCCCAATGGCAGCAGCTCGCTGTCCCCCGAGCGCCAAGGCAACGGTGACCTGCCCACAGTCCCTACTGCCCCGGTAAGGAGGAGGTGTGGGTTTTGAACTACATCACTCCAATCTCTGTCTGTTGTCACATGGCCTCTTTCCCTCTATGTGTGTCTCTATCCAAATCTCCTTCTTTCTCTTATGAAGAGCGGTCACTGGATTTAGGAATCCCCCCCTCTCACCCTGTCTAGACCACACTTCTAACTTGATCACATCTACAAAGATCTTATTTTCAAATGAGGTCACACAGGTACCGGGGGTTAGGACTAGGACATATTGTGGGGACAACTCAACTTGCTATAGGAGACAGAAGGGGTCTGGGCCTGCTGGCCCCACGGGGCACTGACCACCTCTGCCCCTCGCCCTCTCCTCCCAGGATTTCCAGCCGCTGCGCTACCTGGACAGTGTCCCCAGCTCCTTCCAGTTCTTCCTGCCTCTGGGCTCGGGGGGAGCCCTGCATCTGCCTGCTTCCTCCTTCCTCACCCCCCCGAAGGACAAGTGCCTCTCGCCAGAGCTACCCCTGCCCAAGCAGCTGGTTTGTCGTTGGGCCAAGGTGAGTGGGGGCCAGGAAGAGTGGGACAGGGCCTGGGGCAGGTGGCCTCACATGGGCTCAGAACCCTCCCTGGCCCCACAGTGTAACCAGCTCTTCGAGCTCCTGCAAGATTTGGTGGATCATGTTAATGATTACCATGTCAAGCCAGAGAAGGATGCGGGGTACTGCTGCCACTGGGAAGGCTGCGCCCGTCACGGTCGAGGCTTCAATGCCAGGTGAGGAAGGGCGAGAGCTGGCAGGAGGGAGGGGGCACGGGTGTCCACTGAGCTGAGCTGTGCTCTATGCCCTCCCTGGAGCAGGTACAAGATGCTCATCCATATCCGCACACACACCAATGAGAAGCCGCACCGCTGCCCCACCTGTAGCAAGAGCTTCTCCCGCCTGGAGAACCTGAAAATCCACAACCGGTCACATACAGGTGAGAGGGGGTGCTGGAGGGTAGCAGCTGGGCAGGCGCCTGGCTATCCACGGGCACCCAAGAGACAGGGATGCATCCCATTGTTGATGGTCCCTTTTCGAGCTCCACTTGCTGGGGGAAGCCTCTCCTGTAGGTGAGACCCTCAATAAACCGGAGCACAGACAGGTCTTCCCGCCACACTCGGCATTGTTGTTCGTAAGATTGTCTGACTCATGCCACCTGCGACTGCATTCAATATGTCTGCTTTGCTCCTTACCATACGCCAGCACACAGTAGGGCCAGCACTGGCCAACAGAGCCACACACCTGATTTTAAAATTCCTAATTGCTGCCGTGAAGTACAGAGAAATAGGTGAAATGAACTGTAATCATATATTTTCTGGAACCCAATTATGTCCAAAGCATTATCATTTCAAAATTAAAAATATATCAATGAGACACTGAAAATCTTCATTTCGTTTGAAGTCTGCAGAATCTGGTATGTATTTTACACTCACCGCACATCTCAATTTGGAGTGGCCACACTTCAAAGGCCCATAGCCTCACGTGGCTCCATCCTGGTCAGTGAGGGAGCAGACGTTTAGTAAATCTGGAGCCATTCTGCTGAGTAAAGGCTGCATAAAGGGCAGTCGGCATTCATGCAGTGCTCACTGTGGGCTTGCCTCTAGTAGGGGCTTTATGGAAGTCTGTTATCAGGTTTATCAGTTCTCTTATTGACGTGGCTGTTGTCACCTGCAATTTGAAGCATAGCACTAAGGCCAAGGGCACACAATCAGTGCACAGGGGTTCTGAGGGTAACCAGGCTGGCTGTTCAGTGGCTGTGCCTTGCTGCCTCTACCTAGAGTCACATCTCATGCCAGGTGCTGAGGACACCGCCCCTCAAATGGGAGTCTGTACTTTCAAGGACAACTTGGTCTGGGGTCTGCCAAGTAGGTAGTAGGTGCGGGCAGGACACTGGGCTGGGAGACCTCTCACACCAGCCCCACTCGCAGGTGAGAAACCCTACGTCTGCCCATATGAGGGCTGCAACAAGCGCTACTCCAACTCAAGTGACCGCTTCAAGCACACTCGAACCCACTACGTGGACAAGCCCTACTACTGCAAGATGCCTGGCTGCCACAAGCGCTACACGGACCCCAGCTCGCTGCGCAAGCACATCAAGGCCCATGGCCACTTCGTGTCCCATGAGCAGCAGGAGCTCCTACAACTGCGCCCACCCCCCAAACCACCACTGCCTGCCCCCGACGGCAGCCCCTATGTCAGTGGGGCCCAGATCATTATCCCCAACCCAGCTGCCCTCTTCGGAGGCCCTGGCCTGCCCGGCCTGCCCCTGCCTCTGGCCCCCGGCCCCCTTGACCTCAGTGCCCTGGCCTGTGGCAATGGTGGGGGTGGGGGGAGTGGGGCGGGCATGGGCCATGAGCTGCCAGGCCCTGTCCTGCCCCTCAATCTGGCCAAGAACCCACTGATGCCCTCACCCTTTGGGGTTGGTGGACTGGGCCTGCCTGTGGTCTCCCTCCTGGCTGGCTCCACGGGTGGCAAGGCCGAGGGGGAGAAGGGGCGTGGGGCAGTGCCAGTCAGGGCCCTTGGCCTGGAGGGCCGCAAGACCCCCCTGGAAAGGACTGAGAGTGGCCGCTCCCGGCCCAGCCCAGAAGGACTCCCCCTGCTGCCAGGCACCGTGCTGGACCTGTCCACAGGCGTCAATTCGGCGGCCAGCAGCCCAGAGGCCCTGGCCCCTGGCTGGGTGGTCATCCCGCCTGGCTCAGTGCTGCTCAAACCAGCTGTGGTGAATTGAACTCATCCCAGGGACGACGACCCGAAGCTCCCAGCCCTGCCCCGACGAACGGAAACTTTTCTGCGAAATAGCAATAATGTCCTGCCCCCAGGGCCTGGTTGGCTGTGTTCCCCTGGCAGCCCCAGCCCCAGCCCCAGACAAGCTGGGTGGCAAGGATGGTGCTAGGTCATTGCTGGTGTCCCAGGCTCCCAAAGGAGGAACTGCCTACTCGCCAGAGAGACCTGAGCCCCTGAGTGCTGAGGCCTTGCTCACCTCTGGCCCTCAGTCTCCTGGCCCTGTCCTCCACCCTGGTGCCTCCCTCACCCAGTGGCCAACCTGGACAGGTCACCCTCCCTCCCTACCTTGTCACTTGCCAGCCACATCCCAGCAGTGGGGGCAGGTGGGGTGGCATCTGCCCCCTCTGCTGGCCCAGGGCTTCCGCACCCCTTCATGTGGTAAGCTGTGACGAGGAGCCCAGGATTGAGGCCCCTACCCATCCTGCCTGATTTCACCAGGCTCCCGCTCGGGGGCTCCTTGGACCCCTTTCCCTCTGGCCCACCCTCCAGAGGGAGAGAAGACAGACGCAGGCCCCTGCAAAGCCACAGGAAGAGCCACCTTATCCTTATGACAAGGTGCCTCCTGCTCAGAGAGGGAGGCCTGCTCGGCCCACTGCCCCTCATCACCTACCGACCTACCCGAAGCAGCCCCTCTCTGGTTTGGACGGTGCTCTCTGAAACGAGGGAACAGCTGACCACTCAGCTGCCTCTTTACCACTGGCCTCCCCCCTCCACCTTGTAGGGAGCCTTGGGGTGTGGGGAAGGGAGGTGCCAGGACCTCGGGCAGGCCTGGCTCAGGGAACAGGTGGGGTGGGCCTGGCCTGGGCAGTGTCCCTCTTGCACTTGGGGCTGCAGACACCTGCAGGCTGATAGGAGGCTGGAAGCTGGCTGGGGATGACCCCACCTTGGGACAGTTCTCATTCTGGGGTGCCAAGTCACAGCCAGCACACAGGTAAGGGAGGGCTACAGGCCAGTGCTGGGCACAGGAGCTTTCCAGAGGCCATGGACTGAGGCCTTGGGCTTGGGGGGTGGTGAAGCAGTCAAGACTGCCTATGGGAGGCCCAGTCCCTCCACCTGGGAGGGGGAAGTTGGTGGAAGCCTGGACTTAAGATATGCTGTTTCCTCTGGCTTCTTCCATCTGAGCCTCTGTCCTAGACTTTTTTTTTTTTAAATCCCAGGGGCCAGAATAAGCCAAGGATGCTGGTGTTCTACAGAGAGGAAGGGAGAGAGATAGAGAGTTAGAAACATCGATGAGAGAGAAACGTCGATCAGCTGCCTCCTGCACACTCCCCACTGGGGATGTGCCCGCAACCCCAGGTACATGCCCTTGACCGGAATCGAACCTGGGACCCTTCAGTCCGCAGGCCGACGCTCTATCCACTGAGCCAAACCGGTTTTGGCTGTCCTAGACTTTTTTTTTTTTAAATCCCAGGGGCCAGAATAAGCCAAGGATGCTGGTGTTCCAGGTGCCCACTCACTACCTGACCCTAGGGAATGGGCTCTCCCACCAGGCCCTGGGGATGCAGCAAGTGCTTTCCCCACCCTGAACCCTCACTGTGCCGAGGCACTGGTCTAGGCACAGGAGCTTTGGCTCCAGGCCTGCCCAGTCCTTGGCATCAGTGAGCAACCCTTCCCTTTCCCTGACAGAACAAGGGAGCTGCAGGACAGCAGTGGGGTCCGTAGTAGCCCTGCAGTTCCAGAGTCCCCCTACTGTTCCTCAGCAGCTCTGCTGACCCCTACCCTTTTCTGGACTGCCCTTCTGTCCTAGAGGGGTCACCCTGACCCAGCCCGCCCTAACAGGGCCTGGCAGTGCTGGCTCTGCCTCTCGAAGGGGCTGTGAGCAGAACAGGAAGGAGCTGGTCTCCTTCAGGCTTCATCCAGGACCCAGGCATCCCCACCCCATGAAGGGCCCCAGGCCCTTTAAGTCCCCAGTTGGGGGATGAGGGGTTTGGGTTTGCAGTTGAAGCCCAGGGAGCAGAGGAACAGGGCACTGGAAGATGACATTAGCTCAGCATGTGACTCAGTGATAGACCAGGCTCAAGAGAGCTGGTATATGTGTTGTTGTTGGTTTGTTGTTGCACATTCCAGGATATCAGTATTTTAACAGGTTCTAAGTGCCTTTCTATCGTAGCTTATGTTTTTCCTCCTCTTGGCTCCACTGCTGTTAGCATAGAGTAAAAAGAAAAAAAAAAAGATAAGCTAATGACTATAACAATATATTCCTCCATGTGAGAGGAAGTTTATAAAGAAACAATAAAAGTGAGTTGCAAAGATGGTTTCTGTTGTGGATGTGCCAGAAGCTGGGCCACCCAACAAGAGATCACTTCCAACTGTCCTGTGTCTGGCTCTAAGGTCACCCACTCCAGCCTGCGGCACCCAGAGGCCGTTCTGGGGTTTCCTCCTAACCCTGTGGGTGCCATCACCTCAACATTCTGCTGGGAGCTGGAAGGGCAGGAGTGCTAGGAGCTGAAAAGCAAGATTCCAGACAAAGCGCACAGGCTTAGCTGCTTGTCCTGCAGTACCTGCGGTGGCTTTGGTAAGTGGCTTAGCCCTTAGGAAGACCCAGCTCCAGGGCCTCCGTGCAACGAGAGGCTTCTCTTCCCCAGCTGTACATGGAGCATTGGCCCCAATCACTGAGATGCTAGAGTCAAACTCAGTGTGGAGAGGTGCTCTGTGACAGAGCTTGGGTGCCCAGGGCTCTGTCCCCAGGTGAGAAGGGCAGCGGCAGATCCAAGGATGGTCATACTATAGAAGGGACCTGGTGCTGGCACTGACAGCAGGAGTGGCTGTGTCCAGTACATAACAGAACTTGGCTGGCTCTCCACGGGCAGGCCGGGCCAGGTGGGTAGGCTGCCTGGCTTCTTGCCAAACTTACCCACCCAGCCCCTTGCCCTTCTCCCACCAGCCCATGGCTGGCAGGAAGAGCAGTCTGTTTTCTGGAATCTGGACGTGCAATTGAGAAATGCGGAAAAGACATTTATTAACGAGCTATAAATTAGAGGTGGAAGGGGGGGTGGGAAGAGCCAGTGGTCACGTTTGTGGCCTCTTCTCTTTCTCTCTGTCCTCCTGGGCCTGGATTCGGAGCTCCTCCTCAAGGCGCTCCTTCGCTCGGACCACCTGGGGAAGGAGTTACAAACAGCTAGGTAGGGTGGCCTGCACAAGATGGTCCAATTCCAGCTGTGAGTCCCGGACGGCAGGAGGCAGGTCTAGTGCCTGTGGTGGGAAAGGTGGCCTGGGGACTTCCCCCTACAAGGAGACAGCCCAGGGCATGTGGACTGTCATATGGGATCTGAAGCTGCTTCTAGCAATCCACCAGCTAATGGTCCTCTTCCCTCAAAGTCATGGCTGTTGGGAGGGCCACTGTCCAGGCTGATGCAGGGCTTAGCCTGACAGAACCCAACAGCTGAGGCAGCCAAAAGGAGTGACAGTTTAGGGGGTCTCCCTGAGGTTGGGGCACCAGGGAAAGGCCCACACATCTTTCTACCTGCCAAGCCCTGAACTACCTGGAACATGGCTTGCCCTCCTCCCAGCAGCAAACACTACTCACCTTTGACTGCAGGTAGAAGGAGCCGCCCACAGATTTATCATTCACCTTGAATAGGTGTTCGTACTTCTGCAGAGGAGGGGAGACGGTGAGAGGTGTGCAGTCTCTGGGTTACAGAGGCGGGGGAAGCTAGGAGATGACAAAGAAGGAAAGCAAAAGGGCTCGATCCCTCCGCCCTGCATGCCTGAAATGCCACACAGGAAGCCACTACAACCACTAAGGGGCAGAAAGGTGAACAGGTACCCACGGAGGGAGGGGTTTGGCTGCTACCAACTGCTCAATGCCCCTGCTACTGCCTCCCTTGGGCCTAAAAACTAACAAGGGACACTGGCTCCCACAAGTCGGAGTCCCAGCTGGCTGTACCCCAAATCTACCCTACCCCTTCCTGCCAGGCCTCCTTTACTCTTACCCACGCTGCTGGTCTGCCCCCCACCCCCACCCCCCTTTCTGGTCTGCTTGTCTCAGATCAAGCCCAGTGGCCTCACCTTCTGGATCTCCTCGGGGTTCAGTTTGGAGACATTGAGAATCTGCTGTGCCTCCTGGAGGCTGAGGCCGGAGAGGTTAGAGGCGGCTGCAGACTGGTGTCCAGCACGTCCCCGGGCATCAGCTGCTGCCCGGCTGGCTGTGTGAACATGTGGGTTAGTGCTCAACCCTCAGCAGCCCAGAGCTCACCTGGCCTTCCATGTAGGTGGCTCACCCCTGGCAAGTGACACATGGAGGCAGAAGTGGCCAGAGGGCATTTCTCCAGGAGTGGTTTCTTTTTTTTTTGGGGGGGGGGGGGGGTAGTGTTGGAGGGTATTGAAGTGAGGACAGATTTGCTCCACTAGGGGGCAGGGTCTAGTCACCAAACCTGGAGCCTAGTCCCCAGCCTAGACCGCAAAGATTACCCTGTCCCTCTTCTCTCTACTGCGCCCTCATCTGGGCACTTAGAAAGTTGGGGATCTTTAGGCTAAGGGGAGCAGAGCGAAGTTGTGGCAAGAGGAGGCAGCAATAGCTCTGCCCACTGGTTACCTAGGACACCAAAGCAGGCTGCCTCCGGTGACCACTTCCTTTTCAATGACCCTAGATTCAGAAGCCCATACACTTTTACTTAAGGGATCAGAGGGCTTTGCAGGCCAATTAGTCCGTGTTGGACTCTGTCTTAAAAGCAGCCAGAGGGTATAGCTGTGTTCCAATAAAACTTTATCTACAAAAGCAAATGGCTAGGTAGGCCAGTTTGCCAACTCCTGCCTGTATGCTCCTGTCAACCAGGTCTCTCTCTTATGGGAATGCTTCACAGTCCATCATTGCCCCCAACCATGGGAAGTGCCCCAGGCTACCCAAGCTGCCAGAACCCCAACCCACAGAAATCCTGCATTCACAACTGGCCCAGCATGCAGGGCCCATTGCTATGGGGAAAGTCTGACCTGGGCAGGAGCTCCCACCCCAGGGGGAGACAGGGGTCAAGCTTACCTGCAAATTCCTGCCGCAGGGCCCGGGCAAAGGCTCTGCCCACCACCTGCGCCCCCATCACAATGATCTGGGCCAGGTACTTGGCCTGTTGGCAAAGCAGGCATTTGGTTAGCAGGCTGCAGCCCCCAAAGGTGGCACCCTGGAAATGGCTGCTGAGTGGCCCCCAGAAAGTTGAGGTAATAAAACACAAAACGGCAGCCACAGGCCTTTTCTAATGAAAAGCTACTTTGGGTGGCTTCAGGCGTTCATGAGGTAGTAGGTGAGGGGGTAAACCTGACCAAGTCCCCAGAGGCACACCACTTGGCTTCTCCCTTGGCCTCTGGAAGAGGCAGATAGCAGCCAAGGCAAAGTGGCTGCAGGGCACAGAAGCCACTGGCTTCAGGAATAATACTGTGGCCAGGAGCCAGAACTAGGGCCAGTCCCAGACTCACCCACTAACTCACTTTGGCATCTAGGCCAACGAGGGCACTTTCTGTGTTTCTGGGACCGGCCCTAGTTCTGGCTGGTCCAACCTTCATTCTACTGGTGACATTCTAATTTTCCCAACACTATTCAAGTGTACTCCACTCAACACAACACAGCAAAAACTCTGTACCTTCCAGGAGGGAAAGGCCATGAGGCAGGCATTTAGACAAACACATCAAGGACGAAGTAATGAGGGAGCGCAGGGCTGTTACGTATTCCTCCACCGGCTCACTCACTCACTGAGAGGCAACATTTAGACTACAAAGATACACGGGCCCAACCCTGGCTGAGTTGCTCAGTTGGTTAGAGTGTTGTTCCTATACTCCAAGGTTGTGGGTTCAATTCCTGGTCAGGGCACATACAGACAGGGGTCAACCAATGAATACATAAATAAATGGAACAACAAATCAATTTCTCTCTCACCTCCCCCTCCCCCCTCCCCCCTCCCCCCTCAACTCAATCAAATCAATAAAATAAAATAAGACGCAGGGGCCCCTGTCCTTGGAGCTCCCACACCTCCAGGCCTTGCAGGGAAATCCTCCGAGGCAGTGTCCCACCCTGAGACCACAGGGGTCCATGCACCACAGAGGCAAGTGGGGAGTCTCATTAAGCACGTGACCAGAGGCATGGATGGAAACCCAGGAATGAGATGGAGCTACTAGAAGACAATAGTATTTCTACTGGGATGGGTTTTGAAGGGCAGGTAGAATTATGATGGGGATACTGGGGCTTCCTAGGCCGAGGGACCACGGGGAGCCAAAACTGGGAGAAAGCATAAGAAATGTCCAGGTAGCAGCCAAAAGCCTAGGGGACCAGGAAGGCAGCTGAGATGGGCAAATGTGCAGATCTTACAGTGAACAGAGATTACATATAGCCTGCCCATGTGAAAATGACTGTGTGTGAGAGATGGTACAAACTTGGTAGAGGACACCTGGAGAATGCTCACTGCAGGTCAACACTGTTCATGGGGCACATCCAAGTGGTTTCCCTTGTTCTTTGTACTTTTCTGTCTTTAGATTTCCTATCAGTCAACAAGTATCTAAGCAAGTAATCTAAGCAAGAGTGACAGGCACCACGCCAAACACATTCTGTTTATTGTGCTATTTATTTTTTATTTTTAACAAATATTTTTATTGATTTAAGAGACAAAGGGAGAGGGAGAGAACGATAGAAACATCAATGATGAGAATCATTGGTTAGTTGCCTCCTGCACGCCCCCTACTAGGGATCGAGCCCACAACCCGGGCATATGCCCTTGACTGGAATCAAACCTGGGACCCTTCAGTCCGCAGGCCCAAGCTCTATCCACTGAGCCAAACCGGCTAGGGCTATTGTGCCATTTAACCCTAACAACTCAAGACACTGAGACATAAAAAATAACACAAAAAGAACAAAACAAAAAAAGACACTAAAGCACAGAGGTATTTAGAGACCAGCCCAAGGACACACAGCTAGTACTCAGGGGAAGGTGGGCAAGGATCCCAAAGCCAGTGCTATCAGCCATGGCATCCCTAGGTTGCCCATCTCATACAGGGTTCTGGGATCTGCAGGAAGGGCAACAAAGCAACCTGACAAGGAGCAAGGACCCAACCCAGAGGCCAGAGGGTCTTGTCAGATTCCAGTGGAATCCAGACTCCAGAACTGGCCTCCCTTGAACCTGCCCTTCCCTAGTAATTCTGGGCCATTGTCAGGAATTAATAAATGGAAGTGGTTTTGGACTTCACGAGTGGGTGGAAATTTCATAAGCCCTGTATTTCACACCAGAAACCAAAGCTCAGTGGAGACTCCTATGATCAGGACTCCAGCCAGCTGCCTTGCAGGTGTGAAGACAAACAATGGACATGGTATTGACTGGGTGGGAAGCCTCACCTGACTCCCCAACCCCACCTAAAGCCACTCTCAAGTGGGACAGGAGGCTCTGGGATGAATTGCTGGTCCGGTCTGAGTGACAGAGAGAGCTGACAGGCCACTAGGTGACTCCAGAGGGTTTCCTTGGCCTGGCACCTTCAACCTTCAGAACATACCCTCCTTTGCTGGCACATGCCTGAGTGCAACACCATTGTACCACCTTGTACTCTGCCCAGGGTAGTAACTGTTGCTAAAAAAAATGAATGTTAAGAACAAGGCTGTAATGGGCAATTCCCCCTACCATCCCCTCTAGGCTTCAAACCAAAGTGGCATGGTGGCTCCATGGTTCCAGCTGCCAGAGCTCTGTGGCTGCAAGGAAGGTTGGGCTGTTCTGCAGTTTCCCAGTAGCTAAGGGAGCTGCCTGGTCAGCCGAATTAGACTACAAGGTTCCCGGGAGAGCCAACTCCCAGGGGAGGCCGTGTGATCTAGTGGTTACACAGGCAAGCTTTGGGATTACCCGTGTGCAAATCCCAGCTGTGTGCCCTGGACAAGTTCTCAACCTCCCTGAGCCTCCGATTCCTCACCAACAATGGGACTGCCATAAGGATTAAATGAGGTAATGTGTGTAAAGTGCCTGATACAGAGCCTGATGACACAGTAGGTGATCAATAAATGTTGGTTTTCATTTATTACTATTAACAAAACTTGACAATGGCCAGTCACTATGGAGTAACAAAGCTTCTCCCAATAAAGCAGCTGATTTCATAGATTCTCTAGTTACTCAGGGGAGAAGGCTGCAAAAAGCCAGGGACCTCAGAAGCAATGTGAAAGCACAGTGAGAATGCTGCTTTGGAGCTGGGCTGACATAACCTGGAATCCCCAGCTTTGCTTCTTTTTTTTTTTTTTTTAAATATATTTGTATCAATTTCAGAGAGGAAGGGAGAGGAAAAGAGAAACATTAATGATGAAAGAGAATAATCGACTGGCTGCCTCATGCACATCCCCAACTGAGGATTGAGCTTGCAACCCAGGCATGTGCCCTGACTGGGAATCAAATCTTGATCTTCTGGTTCATAGGTCGACACCCAACCACTGAGCCACGCCAGCCAGGCCCCAGCTTTGCTTCTTGTTAGTTGTATGGCGCTGGGCAAATTACTCAACCTCTCTGAATTTTTTTTCTGTTTACTTATTGATTTTAGAGAGAAGTGAAGGGAGGGGTCAGGAAGAGAGATAAACATCACTTTGCTGTTCCACTTATTTACATATTCATTGGTTGATTCTTGTATGTGTCCTGACCGGGGATTTGAACCCACAACCTTGGCGTTTCAGGACAATGCTCTAACCCAGTGGTCGGCAAACCGCGGTTCGCGAGCCACATGCGGCTCTTTGGCCCCTTGAGTGTGGCTCTTCCATAAAATACCACGTGTGGGCGCGCACGTACAGTGCAATTGAAACTTCGTGGCCCATGCGCAGAAGTCAGTTTTCAGAAAGGAGATAGACGAAACAAGTATACAAGACGAGTGTGGATGGGAGAGTTGGAAGGAGTCGACCTCAGCGAACGTACCTCAATCAGACTGAGGACGTTTTTAGCAAAGGCCAGCTTAGGAGTACCCTAATTAAGTTAATAACATTGTACCTACCTATATAGTTTAAGTTTAAAAAAATTTGGCTCTCAAAAGAAATTTCAATCGTTGTACTGTTGACATTTGGCTCGGTTGACTAATGAGTTTGTCGACCACTGCTCTAACCGAAGGAGCTATCCAACCAGGGCTGAATTTGTTTTCTTATCTGCAAAATGGGGAGAATAATACCTTCCTCACAGGAGAGCTGTAAGACCCTCAGGAGGCAATGCACATAAGACCAAGAGGACAGACAGACAGTGGCAGGTCCAGAGCAACTCAACAGCTGCCTTTGCTTCTGGACCAGGTCGTACTTGGTGTTGAATAATCTAGAGATCAGAGGTATAGCCAAGTCTCTCATCCATCTATTCAAGACCCAGACACCTGCTAAGCACCAATTGTGATTCAACTACGCTCAGAGCTGAAGATGGATGGGGAAGCAGAGTTCTGCCAACTATAGCTACCACAGGTGATGAAGACAGCCACTGGCTGAGGCCTCTCTCAGAAAGCCCATAGTCCACAGACTGACATTTGGGCCTGAAGACCCTGGGCCAGAGCAATTGGCTGACACAGCATCCAACTTCAGGCGAAGCTGACAGTTAAGGAGCAGAGGTCAGAGCCAGGATTCCGAGCCTGGGACCCACTGTGGACAGCACACATGCTTTCTCACCCGGGAAGCATCCTGGCCTAATGCAGGACCAAAGGCCCGCAGCTGGGGGTGGGAGAGCACTCAGGAATGTGGTTTATCCCAAATCAAGTGCATCAACAAGGGAGCCTGGCTTTCAGACAAACCCATGTGCAATGTTTCCTTCAAGGAACAGTTCCAGGCCCTCAGGCTGGTGGGCAGAGACAGCCACTGAGATTCACCCCTTTCTTTCAAGGATGCACTGAGATAGGAAGGGGCTCTGTTCATACAGGGCCCCTGCAAACAGCTGTTGGTATCACAACTAAGCAGGAGGGAGGTCAAGACCACAACTGTCCAATTTACCATGGTATGTGTGGGCCTGGCCTGTGGCTGGCGCAGCAGGTGCCTGATACATATTTGAATGAATGTGACATTTAACCAAGACACCGTCAGCTCTGCTTTGGGCAAACTGAAGTCTCATAATCTCTAAGTCCCCAGACAGAATTTCCAAATGCCCCCCCCACCCTCTGCTGAAGGAGGGCTCTAGCCTCCCCTGACAATACACACAACTCTCCACCAACACCGCCTGCAAATTCAGTCCACTCTCCAGTTCGGTCCAGGTACAAATGACTTCCCTGGTTTCTCTTCCCTCACTCTCTCACATCACTCTACTCCTACTACATCAGCCCCTCTACTTCTTTACCTGAAACCTCTGCAGCTCTGAATTCACACACCGCATAAGTGATTCTTCTGAAGTGGGCAATTCAGTGCTTTCTAGTGTATTTAGAGTTGTGTGACCATCATCACTAGTTCCAAAACATTTTCATCACCCCCCCCCCCAAAAAAAACTCCGTACCCATAACCTTGAATATCCTCCCTTCCACTCCAATACTGTCAAAATCCAACATCCTTCAAGACCTAGTCACGTGACCCCCACCCAAGTGAAACCTTCCCGGTCTCCTCCCATTTCTACCTTCCCATAGCACTTGTTCTTGTCCTATTAATATCTTATCGAGTTGTCTTAATTGACAGACTGGCCTACCTTCTCCTATAGGATACAAACTCCTCCAGAGCCACATTTTACTCAGCCCTTGAGGGTGGCTCAGAGTTACATGTGGGAGCGAGGGCTCATCATAGGGCCCCAACAAATGGCAGTGACCATTACAAAGCAGGAATCATGTGATGGGAAACAGCAAGTCTTAGGACACAGAAGGAGAGGTGCCATCTCAGACACTCGTGGGATGAGTGACCCTGGAGGAGTCAAACATGCAGAGCTTCAGGTTCCTTCTCTTGTGAAATGGGGACAGTGAGAAGCACCGACTTCTTTAAGAATTACATAAAAATCAAAAAGAAAAAGAAAGAATTCCATGAAAATCTACTTAAAGCCTCAGCGCAGGGGCTGGCACTTGTAAGCTCTTCTGTTATTCTTACCACTTTCAGTTAAGAAGTGTTTCCTCAAACCCTGCATCAATCGCTTTGAGACGGGGCAGAGCTCAGGACCCTGTATTTTTTTTAAGTATACATTTTTTAATTTACTGATTTCAGAGAGAGAGGAAGAGGGAGAGATTTGTTGTTCCACCCATTCGTGCATTCACTGGTATGGGGACGACGCTGTAAACAACTGAGTAGAACCCTGCATTTTTAAGGGGGTCCCAAGTGCCCCGACGCAGCCGGCGTGGCCCAGGTGTGTGGACCGGCTCCAGGTGCCAATGGTGCCGCAGAAACACCGTTTTCAGCGTCGCAGGGCCTGGTTCAAGCCCCAGCCAGTTCTCCCACTTTATTGTGAAAGTCTCGGAGCCGTTTCGCCAGCTTCCAAGTGGGGACACTAGCAGGACCGCACCAACAACTAGTCCAGGACAGAGCGGGGGCTCGCGTGCCGGGCTCAGCTCCGCCTCCGGCTGCTCGCACATGGGCTGGTGCACGGCCATCGCGTCCGCGGGAGCCCTGCCTTCCAGCCAGTCGGCTCTCCCCGGCTCCGAGGCCGCCAGCGCCCGCCTAGGTACCCCCAGGTGCGACGCCCTTGGCCCCGCTTCCCGCCGGGCACGTAAGGGGAACTCGCCGCCCTCGCCCCGAAATGGCCTCCTCCCCCCTCCCACCCCAGGCAGCCCCCGACTCAGGCCTCACCATGGCAGCTGCTCTGCCTCGGGGGCGCGGGCTCCGTCTTCCACGCCTCGCGGCCCCGGCTCAAGGGCGGCCGGCAGGTCAAAGGTCGAAGAGAGCTACGGAGAGCGCGTGCGCGACGCCACGTTGGGCATGCGCGTAGCCTGGATCCAGAGGGGCGGAGTGTCAGTGGTTACGCAGGAGACCTGGGCGAAGTTGGGGGCGGGTCCTGCGTCGCGCTGGGCTCCGGAGGTGATCAGGCGCGGGTGATGGGCGGTCCCAGGACCCTCTGGGACCCCGAGCTTATCCCGGGGCGCTAGGAGTCACCCAATACATGGGTCAGAAGTGGGCCAATTTTTTCCCTTGATTTTGCCAAAATATGTGGTACTAAAAGATATGCAATAAATACACATCACCCGAACATAAGGAGTTTGATACCAAGTTCTCACAAATATTTAAGAAAAGAGAAAACTTCAAAATAGGGCTCATTCCCTCCTTCAATTCTTTGCTCAAATGTCACCTTCTCAATGAGGCCGTTTTTTAATAACTGATTTATTGAGATATAATTCACATATACAATTCATCTTTTTTAAATATATATTTTTATTGATTTCAGAGAGGAAGAGAGAGAGATAGAAACAACAATGATGAGAGAGAATCACTGATGGGCAGGACCCCCACTGGGGACCCAGCCCAGAACCGGGGCCTGTGCCCTTGACCGGAATCGAACCCGGGACCCTTCAGTCCACAGGTCGACACTGTATCCACTGAGCCAAACCAGCCAGGGCCAATTCATCTTTTTAAAAATATATTTTTTTATTGATTTTTAGAGAGGAAGGAAAAGATAGAAACATCAAGAATCACTGATTGGCTGCTTTCTGCACAACCCCTACTGGGGATAGAGCCTGCAACCCAGGCATTTGCCCTTGACCAGAATCGAACCTGGGACCCTTCAGTCTGCAGACCGATGCTCTATCCACTTAGCCAAACCGGCTAGGGCTACAATTCATCTTTTTTAAATGTACAATTCAATGCTTTTTATTTTTTCTTAATCCTCACCGGAGGATATTTTCCCATTGATTTTTAGAGAGAGTGGAAGAGAGAGGGAAAGACAGAGAAACATCGATGTGAGAGAAACACATTGGCTGCCTCCTGCACTCGCACCAACCAGGGCCCAGAAGGAGCCTGCAACCGAGGCACATGCTCTTGACCGGAATTGAACCCGGGACCCTTCTCTCCGCATGCCAAGGCTCTATCAGCTGAGCCAAACTGGCTAGGGCCAATGCTTTTTAGTATATTCACATTTACAAGCTCCAGAACATTTTCATCATCCACCCTCCCCGCCCACCCCCCCCAAAAAACCTCACCATTAGCAGTCACTGCCCATTTCCCCCTACCCTTGGTGACCACGAATCTATTCTGTCTCGGTGGACTTGTGTTTTGGAAGTTTCATGTAAATGGTATCATATTATATGTGGCCTGTTGTGTCTGGCTAAAACCTCCATTCTTTTTTGAAAAAATATTTTTATTGATTTCAGAGAGGAAGAGAGTGGGAGAGATAGAAACATCAGTGATGAGAAAATCACTGATTGGCTGCCTCCTGCACATCCCCCACTGGGGGATTGAGCCTGAAACGTGGGCATATGCCCTGATGACGGGGAATGATCATTTTAATAAGTGAAAAGGCCAGGAAGCTCCCTTATATTTTTCAAAACCAACTGTAATTTCCACACAGGAAACCCAGGTACAATTGACAGTGGGGAACAAATTAATTGATTTCTTAGTCTGATATACTTTCATTTGTAATTCTGAGTGTTATCTTCAAATGTTGTTATAAAATAAACTGCATTATAATCAGATCTATAACCATGGTATTTTAAGTATTTTTTGTCATTTAGAGACAGTCATTGTTTTACTCTGATGCATTTGCAAAAATGTTACATCTTCTAACTTATTTCAATGTATGAATTTTGGACAGTAAAGTTTCAGATCATATTGTTAAAATTTATAGAACTCTTAAGGAATAACTGGATTCATAGAAATACTGGAAAATAATCAGTATAAACAAAAATTATGGGACTGAATAAACTGAAGCTAATTATTATTCTTATTAAGACTGTTGGCAATATTGCTGATTTTTAAAAACTTATTTGTTTTCTTAGAGCAAATTGTTAAATTGTACCTTGATAAGCAATATTAAAGCATTTATATTTTTCTCCCTATTTATCCTTCCAGAATTTAAAAACTCTTAATGAGTATTATTATTTTCATGGCAATATGTTTATTTGTATGAACCCAATAGAAATCTGATTTTTTTTATAACAGGACACATAAAGCCAATTCCCAATTATTGTTTTATTAACCAAGACTTTGACTGGAATGTCGAGTTTGAGAAAGACAAGCCTAGACGCTGGATATCAGCAAAAAGGCTTTAAGGAATGAAGATTGACTCTGAAGCCTATAAAAGCCCCTTGGAAAAATGGCCTGGTACCTTGCTTATATATATGGTTCATGGCAGTCTTTCCAGGTAAGGGACAGATTGCTTTCCTGGCAGATGGCAAGAAAAGAACCTCGAGACATTTTGGGGACCTCAAGAACTTGAGGAATTTACCCAAACCTATAGGTGTTGCAGGAAAAGCCTTATGGCAACTGTGTGACTTGGCTTCTTTGTCCTGAGGAAACTTTCTTGTGAGATTCCAGCAAAGCAGATTTAAAAAGCCTATACGATCAATTGCTATTCCTATTGTGTTTATGCAAACCATCAGGCCAAATTGAAACTGGACTTAATATAGCAAATGAGTTCGTCTTAATTTGGCTCTTTGATAAAAATGAGGGTGATTTTAGGAGAAAATATATATTTCAACACAGTTATGAATATTAGACTCTAGTTCAGTTAATTGTGAAATTTTCTTTTTCACTTATGAACTAGACTGGATCCTGAATTTTTCTAGTTTTCTGAAATATTTTGTCTACAACTCCCTAACTTCCATGGAAATGGAAAAAAAATTGACAGTGGGGAACTGTAACAATGAAAAATTGTAACCCACCCCAAAAATCCTAGGAACTAACTTCAGAAGATACAGACTCTGACCTTCAGTCATCCTAGGTCTGGGATTTTTTTTTTTTTAATTTAATTTTCACTTTTTCAAAAATTCTTTTTAAAAATATGTATTTATTGATTTTCAGAGAGGAAGGGAGAGGGAGAGAAAGATAGAAATATCAATGTTGAGAGAGAATCATTGACTGGCTACCTCCTGCACACCCCCGACTGGGGATCCAGCCCGCAACCTGGGCATGTGCCCTTGACCAGAATCGAAACTGGGACTCTTCAGTTTGCAGGCCGACGTTCTACCCACTGAGCCAAACCTGCTAGGGCCAGGTCTGGGAGTTCTGCTGATCTTCAAACACAGAACCAGAAGGACAAAGAACCAGGATGATGAAGACCAGGATGACACACACACACTAGGCCATCACTTGACCAGTTTTGAGGTCCTTATTGGAATGGACTGGACTGCAAGGAGAGAACTTTTCAACTCCCTTCCCTTGATTTCTTTGTTATGCTTTGCCTCTCCCTCCTTATAAAAGCCTCTGCCTGGCCCTGGCCAGTGTGGCTCAGTTGGTTGAGCGTCATCCCATGCACCAAGAAGTTACCAGTGCACCTGGGTTGTGGGCTTGATCCCCAGTGGGGGGGTGTGCAGGAGGTAATCAATATTTCTCTCTCCCTATTCCTTCCTCTTTCTCTAAAATCAATTAAAACATATTTAAAAACAAACAAACACCAAAACAAAAAACAACAACCCTGCCTACACTGAGATGTTGAGATGGCTTTGTGACAACAGTCCTCCATCTCCTCTCGTGACCAGCACTTGAATGATACCTCTTTCCCTTTTCACCAGCACCTGTCTAATGAGTTTGGTTTTTGTGGTGGCAAGCAATTTGGTTATATTATCATCTTTTACCATATTATATTATTCACTTATTTTTATTTTTGTTTATAATCTTTCCTCCCACTAGAATGTGGATTCCTGGTGGATAACTTTTATCCCTTTACTCCACTCTGGAAGTTCAGCACCTGGAAGGCACTAAGTGTGTGTTGAATGAATGAAAGACAGGCTGCTTTGTGCTATGTTATGGACCACTGCCCTTCTTTCCTTTCATCCAACTCTCCAAATTCTTTCTTCTCTCAGCACCCAGGCTATCCTTCCCTTTGTCTGAAACATTTTCATGGCTCTCTCTGGCTTCTCATCTTTTGGGTCTTAGCTCTCTTCTTAAATGTCACCTTCCCAGACCCTAAAAACTCTTTCGCCTGCATCCCAGTCACTCTCTTCAACATCATTTATCTTCTTTATGGCTATTTGCTTTCTTGCACACAATCTGGCTCCCCTACATAATAAGACTATACTAAGTACATTGAGAAGCTCATGTCACCCCCATCTGTTTTACAGTATCTACCATCCAGAGCATTGTTGGATACCTCTGTGTTGGATGAATGAATGCACTTTCGAGCATGCTGGAAACGGCCTCAGGAGCAAAATGGAGCCTGGGACCAGAGGGAACCCTCACCTAAACTCCTGTCCCCTTCCCTTCCCAGCCATCCCAGAGACCACAGCAGCACAAGAGGTGGCAAGCTTAGAAAAAGTTTAATTGCTGAAAATATCCCAGGCATGTGCAGGCCAGCCCCTGTGGGGCTCACACTCCCTTAACAGGCCGTCAGCCTGTGATGCCTGCTTCTCCTGGCTTCAAGCCTGGGGAGCAGGGTGACTGTCCCAGACCCCTGAGGCTGGTGCTGCTCCAAATGGTCTGGCAGGGGGCCAGCCCCCAAAGGCCATTGACCAGAATTGGGTCAGCAGGCAAGATGAGGTGGCATGTAATAACTGAAGGTGCTCTGCGAAAGCAGCCCATGTCCGAGTAGGGAAACCGGGATTCCAGGGCTTGCTCAGGGACATGCTACTGACCCCCACACTCATTCCACCCCCATGACTCTGGCTCCACATGCTAGCAGGCAGCTGAGAAGTTGGCAGTACCAGAGAAAGCAGAGGTGCAGACAATCCATGGGTGTTTTAGCAAGGCCTGGAGGGGATGGAAGTGCTCAAGGCCCAAAGAAAGCCAGGGTTTCTGGGATGAGTTATGCCAGAGCCAAAAGGTGCCTTCCAGTTTGAGGGTAAGATATGAGGTGTACAGGGGCACTAGGTGGTTCTAGGAGGTGGCAACGGCAGGTGAGGCCAGTGGTGGCTTGGTTGGCAGACTAGTCCTGGGGAGATAAAGGAAAGAGTGGGTGGGAGTTGAGAAGGTGTGGAGAAGGGAGGTGGCACATGCTGCAGGGGTGA